ATTTATTTAGGCTGCCTGAAAAATTGCCACTGTAGGGGTCTATTCAAAGGCACCCCAAAGCACCACACAGGTTGGACCTTAAGGAGGTTTTCTATTAGAAAGGCATCTGTATGGACTTCAGTTACGACTGTATCAATCATAGTCAGTAATGTAGAAGCTGTCTTCCATGTTACTATGGAGGATCCATTTAGTAGTAGTGGATTGTGCAATGGTGGTAGTGCTGCCACTGCTTGCAGTTAGATAGTAAGAAAATCATTTCTAGTTCTACATATTTGTTTTATTATTGGTCATTAGAGCTCAGTACATTACTGACGCTCCTGAGGTTGGCGATCAACACAACAAAGAGTTAAACAAGTCTGTTACCCATGAAAAATATTTCAGACCTAGTAGATTCTAATGACCTCATTCATCATGGCTGCTGCGGGGACAAAAAACATGAGCGCTCCATTTGTTGTCATTTCCTAGAAGCCCAAAGGTTAATACCAATATTGGAACACAATATTAGTAAAGACATGTTGGCCATCGCTGGGGATTAGGCAATGAAATGTTGTCGCCGTCATTCGATCAGTTAATATCCAGACGCATGAGGAGTCGGTGACAAGCCAGAACATCTCCCATTCCCAGCTCTTCTATACAGGACGCTTCATTGATTGCATTTTAATTGTGATGCTTGCCATTTTAATATGCTGGAGACTTGTACTCCCTCCGTTTAAAATGGCACAGATGAAATGAAGGGCACAGGTCACCGACAAGGCAATGAATCAAATATTAAGAGGAAATGACACAGTAAAACTTAATTCAACAAAGTGTAATAGATAAAGAGATGGGGAAAGCGTGTGCGTATGGTTGTTTATGTGTATGTATAGTATGTCTTTGTGCACATATAGTGTGTGTGTGTGTGTGTGTATTTATATGTTAAGTATTCAAAGTAAAATACAACATATAGGAGTTGATTTACTAAAGGTAAATAAATTGTTGATTTTGGAAGGCAGTTTTCCCCGAGCTTAGTGAATGAGGTGAAGCTCCTCTGACTTCCATCATCTAAGCATGAGCAAGCAAAAATACTGTTTTTGTTTTTTATTTTCCTTGCGCGTGATTGGGTAAATTTTCACTACATTTACCAAGTCAAGGGAAAGCTCCCTTGCAAAGTGAACGGCCTATTTGCCTTTAGTAAATCAAACCAATTGCGTACGCACATACTATGGATTTGCACATACTGGATATTTAGACCAGAGGTACCCTTCAAATAAAGGTCTCAGGAAACCTGACCCCGGAACTATGCAGGCACTATGAAATGGGAGGTGAAAAATCAGCCACAACTCAAGGCACCTCTAGAGGAACCCTGGGGTTTTATGGAACCCCGGTTAAGAATGGCTGATTTAGACACTTTTACTTGCCCATTCACACCTAGGAGTTATTGTGAATATTCGTACAAAAAGATCAGCACATAATTCTCATTGATTTCAATGGCCCCCGTTTACACCTGAGCTTCAAAATGCCTATTTGGAAAAAGTTTCTGAACCTCTTTGGGGCATTTTGCAGCGCGTTTGGCCCCATAGACTAGACTTTAAAGGAGAACTATGGGGTCAGGGCTTTTCCCCATAGTTCTCCTAAGGGTAACGGGAGGACACAAACTAGCGTCTTCATGTCACCCACAGCTCAGTATACCGCGAGCTACAGCTCGCGGTATACTGAGACGCCGCAGCCGAGACGGATCCCGACATTACTGTCTGGATCCATCCAGCTGCATGAGTGACAGCTGGCTCTGCCTATCTAGAGGCAGAGCCAGCTGTACCCTCCCCCGTCCGTTCCGCCAGTCAGCGCTGGAGGATCGGACAGGGGAGGGGGGAATCCCTGCAAGGAGCCGTGAGTGACAGTCACGGCTCTCTGCAGGGACAGGATTGAGAAGTGAGCGATGAAAAGGTACGCGTTCGCTCACTTTCTGATCTATTGAGCCGACCTGTGACAGTTTCATTGTCACAGGTTGGCTCGAACTATGAGGCTGAGTGATTTTCACTCGACTCATAGTTCTCCTTTAATGGAAAAGCCTGAAAACTGCGTGAAACAACTTTGCACATTTCTGTGCCTGTTTTTACACACATTTCCCCATTGGCCGCAATGTATTTTAAAACGTGCGTCTTTATGTGCGTGTGTCTAACACTTGTAAAAAGGTGCAAAAGCGTGTAAAGAACGTTAGGCGAAAATGCATGCATAAACACTGAGGCTAGGTGTGAATGCAGGCTAATGTAAAGTAAGGCTTACAATGAAAAAGATCTGTCTGTAGCCAGTCATGTTTTTAATGTCCCCTAAAATCGTGAATGTAATTATTGATTATGACCAAAACACACTGTGTGAACCATTTCAAGGCTTATTGAGGGGAATTTCTCAAAACTGGAGCAGACAAAATCTGGAGCAGCTGTGCATGGCAACCAATCAGCATCCACCTTTCATCTTCAAATCTTAACTGAACAAACAAGCTGATTGGTTGTCATGCACATCTGCTCCAGATTTTGCCTGCTACAGTATTGATAAATTCCCCACATTATGTTTTATGGGAGGAGGTCATTACTTGCTTTTGAAGTATTTGTAAAAATGTTGTGAACTTTTAATTCCAACAACTCTTCTTGTTCTCTCTTCAGTTCTTCTGGGTGCTCCTTGTCATCTTGATCATTGAGCTCCTGCTGATTGCCATTGAAGTGGTTTTTGAAACTCAGGTAAGTGTAACATATGTAGAAGCATTAAGATCAGAGGATGAAGGACTGCATATGTTTTTTTAAGGGACATCATCACTTTCTTTAAATGCCATTATTCAGCAAATACACTGCCTGGCCAAAAAAGTCACATACGCTAATATTTTATTGGACCTCCTTTAGCTTTGATTACAGCACGCCTTCCATGTGGCATCGTGCCGATAATCTTATGCAAGGTCACAACATTTATTTCCATCCAGAGTTACATTAATTTTTCACCAAGAACTTGTAGTGATGATGGGAGGTCAGAGCACTGCGTAAAGTCTTCTCCAAGACATCCCAAAGATTCTCAATGGGGTTATGGTCTGGACTCTGTGGTGGCCAATCCATGTGTGACAATGATGTCTCATGCTCCCTGAACCACTCTTTCACAATATGAGCCCGATGAATCCTGACATTATCATCTTGGAATATGCCCAATGTACCATCACAGAAGAAAAAAATCCATTGATGGAAGAACCTGGTCATTCAGTATATTCAGATGGGCAGCTGACCTCATTCTTCGGGGACATAACGTTGCTGAACCTAGACCTGACCAACTGAAGCAACCCCAGATCATAAAACTCCCCGAAATCCGGTTGGTGACTTTGTTTTTTGCGAAGCAATATATATTGTAAAAAAAAAAAATGTAAAGAGAATTACATTTTGTAGATTAGTGTGTTTGCTCTATATAAAGTATGTAGTTTAAAAAAAAAAAAAGAATAGTTCACTTTTAAAGAGTAGAATTTGTTTTCATATGGTCTTTGGTCTAGCAAGCACAACACTTCTTGCCTGAAATATACTTTTCCATGCCAGGATCATTAATGAGAACCGAATGAGTTTATTTCCTCCTTGATTCTGTCTCTGATGGCAGACATTGCCAGCGTTTGTGTGTTGTTTAGAGTTTGAGTCACTGCTTTCCTATTTTTAATGCAGTCTTGAGGGGTGGATTGCTCTTTTGTTGATAAAGGGTATGAATCATAAATTCATCTTTTGCAGTGTGCTAGGAGATTCTTAGACTTGAAAAGAGGCAATTTCATGCTGCATTTCTGAATATTGGTGTATGAAAAGATTTGACATCATGTATACGTCAGAAAGGAATGTTGCTAGTAAGAACGTGGAGAAAGAGTAATCATACAAGTAACAGAAAATGTTAAACTTGGTTCCTATTGGTGGATGGTAAGACCCAAAACTAAAGCCAATTATGTGTCATTGTAAATGTGTTTGTTAGAAGTAGGGATGCACCGATATATCGGCCGCTGAAACATATCGGCCGAAAATGACACCTTTGACTAAATGCCGAAAGTGCCATTTTCCTGCCGATATATCGTCACATCCCTGGTTTCTTTCCTACCCGCTGGGTGCTGCTTTGTGTCCCAGTGGGGAGGAGAGAAAGTGACGGCCGGCCGACGCTGCGGGAGGAAAGCGCTGTGAGCCGCTGGTGTCTCTTCTCCCACACCGCTCAGCCGCCTATCACAGTCCGGCAGGGCTCTCCTCCCTACACTGCTCGCTCAGCCTCCGGTTGACAGCTGCCAGAGAGGAGAGCCAATGCAAACACTCAGTGATCATTGATCGCTGAGTGTTTGTAGATAATTGAGGACAGAGTATGGTTACTATATCCTCAATTATGAATGAATGGGAAGTGATCTATATCCACTCCCGTTCATTCATAGTTGTAGTTATAGTAAGCACACAATGTCCTCATGTTATCAATGAACAGGAACACTCACAGCGGATTCCTGTTCATTCATAACAGGGGATACAGAAAAACATAGGACTTTGTGTCCTCAATCTCTTTTTCTATTTTAAAAGGGAAATATAAGGGGTCTGTTTAGACCCCTAATATTTCCCCAAAGCCCCTAAAAGTAAAGTAAAAAATTAAAATGTTTATAAAAAATAAATAGAAAACAAAAATTAGAAAAAATAAATAAAAACATTTTCGGTTTCAGCCTGACAATTTTTTTATTTCGGTTTCGTTTCTGTTTTTAAATTTGTATTTCGGTGCACCTCTAGTTAGAAGTACTGTTGTCTAGTTTGGCGAGCAGCAGAAAGGTGCAAGGATGGATAAGGCAGAGACTTTCCTGTAAGTAGGGCCGCATTGTGTTGTCTCAAATGTTTCTACTATTGGCAGCACTATTTTGTGGGGTCAGCGTGAATGTTTTAGTACGGACATCCCTTCGCACTCCTGACTGATGTGTGTCTTTTGGTTCAATGCGGATGCTATAGTAACAAGCGGACAGTGCCACTCAGATACAGTGATCAGGGCCGTCTTAAATATTAATTGGGCTCTGGGCAAGATTTACTGACAACCTTCCCAGCTCCATCACTTCCCGACGCAGACCCCCATAATCAACCTACAACACCTTCCCCTGAAAAGAAACTAATAAATAAAAACACATATCCAGGCAATAGCGCAATGGACTCAAGCTTCTGCAAAACAATAATCTCAGGAACGAAATGCACTTAGGACTTGGACCCTGCAACGCAATGGATTCAGGAGCCTGTAACGCAGCAAACTCAGGTCCCCACAACGCAGTAAACTCAGGACCCAGCAACGCAATGGACTTAGGAGCCTGCAACGCAATGGACTTAGGAGCCTGCAACGCAATGGACTTAGGAGCCTGCAACGCAATGGACTTAGGACCCTCTTATGTTGCAAAGTCCTAAGTCCATTGCAGTGCAGAGTCAAGAGTTTATTGCGTTGGGGAGTCCAACGTTTGTTGTGTTGCAGGGTCCTGAGTCCATTGTATTGCAGACTCCTGAATCCATTGCATTGAAGAGTCCTAACTGCATTTTCTTGCTGAGTCCTTAATCCATGGTGTTGCAGGGTCCTAAGTCCATTGCGTTGCAGGGTCTTAAGTCAAATTCGTTGCAGGGTCCTGAATCCATTGTGTTGCAGGGTCCTGAACTCATTGGGTTGCAGGGTCCTAAGTCCATGAATCTGTATTGCATTACTGTTGCTTGTCCTCAAGCACTTACTGCATGGTATATGCATATCACAATGTAACCTGCAATAGAGACACTGAGGATCTGGTTAGGTTGTTTCTTCTGCTGTGTCTGGCTGTGTCCTCCCCCTCCTTCTCCTCCGTGCCTGCCGGATCTCCCATGCATCCTCCCCGATGTCTGTGTCTATGTGACAGGCATGGGGAGGGGGGAAGATCACAGAAGCAGGAGGCACACAGACATTAACTAGAGGAGAAAGGACGGCCGGATGGTCTCCCTGTCAGCGGTGCCGCTGGGCTTCTCCTGTCTCACGCTTGGGCTAAAGGGACAGCTGCTTTGGGCCCCTGTAAATTATGGGGCGCAGGGCAATTGCCCATTTTGCCCTGCGTTAAAGACGGCCCTGACAGTGATGAGTAAGTCACCAGCACACCATCATCTTCATCATCAAGAATGACTTCATTGATGTTATTTGATCATAATGTCACAAAATAAAGTGATGTTTCTGGGCCACGCAGGGTCCCTTAATCAGACAATGTGATAACAAGTGCAAAAACCATACATATTACAGTGCCTGATGAAGGGACCCTGCGTGACCCCAAAATGTTGCTTAATTTTTTATATCATGATCGAATAATGTCAATAAAGGCATTCTTGATGATGAAGCTGATGGTGTGCTGGTGCCTTACTCTTTAGTGTGAATGTTCTAAACCACATTTCCTGCTGGAGATACGGTCTATGGCCTATTGCTTGTATCTTACAATTGTGTCTATGTCTTTTAAAGGAGAACTATGAGGTGAGTGCTTTTCACTCACCTCATAGTTCTAGCCGACCTGTGACAATGAAACTGTCACAGGTCGGCTCAGTAGATCGGGAGGTGAGCGAACAGATACCGGCGTTCGCTCGCCTCTCGATCCTGTCACGGTTCTCTGCCGTGACAGGGAAGGGGCTGGATTCCCCCCTCCCCGCTCCGATCAGCCAGGGCTGACTGGCGGAACAGACGGGGGGGGGAGCGGGTACTCTAGATAGGCAGAGCCAGCTGTCAGTCACGCAGCTGGACGGATCCAGACATAATTGTCGGGATACGCTTTAGCTGCGGCGTCTCAGTATACCGCGAGCAGCTGCTCGCGGTATACTGCGGCGTGTTTCAGTATACCGCGAGCTACACCTCGCAGTATACTGAGCCTAGGGTGACGGGAGGACGCTAGTTTGTGTCCTCCCGTTACCCTAAGGAGAACTATGGGGAAAATACTTAACCCCATAGTTCTCCTTTTAAAGGCTTTTACTTTTGGGCCTTGATCATCTCTGTCTCAAGGGTGGAGAACACTAGGATAGACCATCATCTACAAATTTTAAAGCCCCGCCATCCTTAATAGCTGCTATTGATAGCGCAACCCTTTTTCAGTCTGAGTTGTGCTGTGCAAGATATGACAAGATGCTAGCATCAAGAAAGATTAGGATACTTATACTAGTATGTAAAATTACATTTCAGTAAGTATAGAGAAATACACAGTTGCATTATTTATTTTTTCATTTTTATCTGACTGGAGTTGAGCTTTAATGCCGGTGTTCTATCGAAAGTTCCAACTTGTCGAACTCTCCAACTGGTGACATCACATCCGGTAACTGCCAGTCAGATGGAAGTAGTGCGCATGGCCAGGAAATTCTTGTTGAACTGTCTAACTATTGCCACAGCGCCTGCACGTCTATCCACTTCTATTAACTTAATTCTATTAACCTAATTACAGTTATATTTGTCCTAGGTTATAGAAGCCGACGAGCTGATAGCCACGCAGGCACTGTGGCTATTGCCTCATCGGATTCTATAACCTAGTCAAAGGTTATATTATCTTACAGCACCTGCACGGCCACATGATTCCTTCTACAACCACAGTTGCGCCTGCGTGGCTATCGGCTTCTATAACCTAGGACAAATATAAGTTTGTCCTAGGTTATAGAATCCGATGAGCCGCTAGCCGTGCAGACGCAGTGGCAATAGTTAGACAGTTCGACAAGGATTTCCTGCCCTTGCGCACTAGCTCCAT